ATACTAATTAGAACACGGCAACAATCTAAAGGAAGCACTGTTTGAAAAGTAATAATTGGCGATTAGAACTAGTAACAACAACAACAACAATCGTGGTAGCCAGCTACATCAACAAGCCACCAGTTTCCTTTGGTTCTTTTATTGCTTCTCTTTGGTTTTGTTTTTGTTGTCTCTGTTGCATCTCGGGAAACACATCAAACACATTGGACATAAACACTGTTGTTGTTCAACCACTGCCGCCATTTCGTCTTCTTCATCAGTCGGCACAATCTCAGCACATCTTTTTTAGGGTCTCAAAAATCTCATCATCGCTTTTTCGCAAACACACCACATCAAATCACATCGCCTTTTTTGTTCGGCTCGCAATCAGCCACACTCAATCTAGCAAACACGTCTTCAAATGTTTAGAAGCAAAACCTTCTCGATTGTGCAGTTCAACTTGAAGTACTACCAGGATGCTCGCAACTTGTCCAAGTTTTCCAATCAGCTGAGTAAGTGTTGTGTTTTTCATGTTTGTTTACCAAGACTTGACCTTCCTACTTGGTCGTCTACTTTCAGAACTGCAAGCGGCTACCTCTAGCTCCAACTGCACGAGCAAACGTCGGGAGAAGCAGCACTCACCGAACAATCGACAGCAGCATCAGCAGCACACATGCCTGCACACTACCTCCTATCGACGAAAGACCGTCACCGGTGGTATTCCGGGTGACGGAGGCAATGGAGTTCGCGGAGGTGGCTTCGGTGGTGATAAGACCACCAGCACCACCGGCGTGGGCGGCGGCGGCAGCGTCGGTGGAGGAGCCGGCGGCGGTGGTGGCAGCAGCAAGGACAAGAACTTCCTCTGCCCCAACTGCGGCAACATCTGCACTCAGATTGAGGAGTTCCTCTGTGAGTTCGGCTGCTCAGAACAGCTTTTTCTTATCACACTCCTCATCACGTTCTTTTTCGCTTCTTTCAGCCTCGACTCGCTTCGTCAAGTGCGACAAGTGCGCCCGCTTCTTCGTCATCCTCTCGGAGAATGACCTGCACAAGGGCGCCGCCGGCAAGGAGGGAAACCACCAGGGCGTCAATGCCAACAACGCCTCGCCGCACTTTCACAAGTCCACCGAGAAGTTCAACATTCAGCGTAATCCACCGCCGCCAAAGAAGGTTAGTGCTGCTGCTGCTGGCTGGTTGTTTTAAATCAATGGCCGCTTATCACTAACTACTGCAACCTTTTTATCAACTGGCAGATTNTAGTGCTGCTGCTGTTGCTGGCTGGTTGTTTTAAATCATTGGCCGCTTATCACTAACTACTGCAACCTTTTTATCAACTGGCAGATTTACGAGTACCTCGACAAGCGAGTTATCGGTCAGAATGACGCGAAGAAGGTGCTCGCCGTGGCGGTGTACAACCACTACAAGCGCATCAACCACAACATACTGTCCAACTCGGCGGCGGCGGGCAATGGCTCTCGCAATGGCAATGGCGGCGGCGGTGCCTCACTGGCCGACTCGGCCACCAGCGAGACGAAGATAATCAACGGCAGAGGTCGGTGACACTGAAGGCAACCTAACAGCAGCTCTCATTTACTAATTACTTTCTCTTTCACTGAAAAACCCTGCAGACGAGTTCATCAACATTCCCAGTCCCAACTCGATTGGCATTCACCTGCAGAACTTTCAGTCGGCGCAGGAGGCGCTGCACCAGCAAGGTGGCCCACAGGGAAGTGACGGAAAGCCTTCTAACAGCGGCCCCAACTCGCAGCGCGGCAGCTTCCTCCTCGAGGCGAATGAGCTGGACATCAAGCTGGAGAAGTCGAACATCCTCCTGCTGGGGCCGACGGGCAGCGGGAAGACGCTGCTGGCGCAGACGATCGCCGTCTGCCTGGACGTCCCCTTCGCCATCTGTGATTGCACCACGCTGACGCAGGCGGGCTACGTCGGCGAGGACATCGAGTCGATCATCGCCAAGCTGCTGCAGGACGCCAACTTCAACGTGGAGAANTTTTGCCATCTGTGATTGCACCACGCTGACGCAGGCGGGCTACGTCGGCGAGGACATCGAGTCGATCATAGCGAAGCTGCTGCAGGACGCCAACTTCAACGTGGAGAAGGCGCAGCAGGGCATCGTCTTTCTGGACGAGGTGGACAAGATCGGCGCCGTGCCGGGCATTCACCAGCTGCGCGACGTCGGAGGGGAGGGCGTGCAGCAGGGCATGCTGAAGATGCTGGAAGGGACGGCGGTGACGATTCCGGAGCGCAACTCGCGGAAGATGAGGGGCGAGCCGATTGTGGTGGACACGACGAACATTCTCTTCATCGCCTCGGGCGCCTTCAACGGCCTGGACCGCATCGTCAGCCGTCGGAAGAATGAGAAGTACCTCGGCTTTGGCGCCAGCTCCAGCGGACAGGGCCAGGGCCGACGGGCGGCGGCCGCCTCCGATGTGGCGGAGAACTACGCCGCCAGCAACAGCACCGGCGCCGGCGGTGACATCTCCGCCCTGGAGGAGGACATTGCCGAGCGAGATGGGCTGCTGGGGGCGGTGGAGTCGCGCGACCTGATTGAGTTTGGCATGATCCCCGAGTTTGTGGGTCGCTTCCCGGTGGTGGTGCCCTTTCACTCGCTCTCTCAGTCGATGCTGGTGCAGATTCTCACCGAGCCGAAGAACGCCCTGGTGACGCAGTACCAGAAGCTCTTTCTCATGGACAACGTCGAGCTGACCTTTGAGGGGGCGGCGCTGCAGAGAATAGCCAAGGTGGCCATGGAGCGCAAAACGGGCGCTCGCGGACTGCGAGCCATTCTGGTCAGTACTGCTTTGCCTAAACTGTTTTGTTTGATTTTTACTAATTTTTTGGCTTTCTCTCCCGTTCTCCACCTCTACAGGAGAACATCCTCCTCGAGCCGATGTTTGAGATTCCCGGCACCAGCATTCGCAAGGTGAACATCACCGAGGAGGTGGTGCTGGGCGGGAA